ATTCTGAGAATCACGGTTTTACCATATGAATTTTGGAGGGACGCAGTTAACCCCTAATATGCAGTACATAACCTCTTGTTACTGGATTTTAAAAATAATTCTGCATAAGTCTCAAGAGATTAACACAGGTGTATCAATAGTTGGTTCCTTTTTAGTTAAGTACTGTTCCAAGAAGGAATGTTGCCCAATTTCTGTTCATTTGATGTACTTCTAGTTATTGCTTTTAAAGGCTTATTATTAGGGGCCCTGGATTAGAATTAATGTGAAATGAACAAGCTAAAGCCAGAGGTAAAGAAGCCATGGAAGAAACTAATTCGAGCCCTTCTTGTCTTTTGCTGAGTAATCATGTCTTAGCATTGAAGATCAAGATTGGTCACTTTTTAAATCATTCAAAATCAACTTGCAGAAGTGTGTGTTTTTTTTTTTTTTGTTTTTTTTTTTTTTTTTGAGGGAGGTACTTACTAGTAAAATATTCAAAACTTGAATATTGAAAATACTTTTATGGTATATGTAACCTTTTCTTTGGCTCCATACTTGTTGGAAAAATTCTTAAAGTTAACAGGTTTCAACCGTTTTGGTTGCTTTTGTCATAAGCCCTTCTTGAACAAGAGCTGCTACTTTTGTTAACGTGATCTTCCACTCATGATTGAGTTTAGCTGCTTCTGTCTTTTCGAAAATCTGCTCATGAGACAGAGGTTCTGCTTCATGAATCTCAGATAATACAGTTAGGACATGCAAGGTCTCCTGCCTGACACGAATGGAAGGACAGTCTGAGAAATGAGGGTGAGGAAATGCTAACCAAGAACAAAGTCCCGAGACTTCCTTCTTTATGGGAAATATTAGGAAAATTAGACTGAATTGAGAAGATACATAATTACAGACTATTTTCAAAGAAGTAAGATTTCATTTAGCTTTATGTCTAGAATGTAACAGGTTAAGATGCAGATAAGTTGTTGAAAGCAAAATTACATGAACCAGTGAAAACTGTAATTCACAAGAGGCCTAAATTGTATAGTAATGAGTCGTGAGCATTAAAGTCTTTGAACTTGAAAGATTGCATTGAATAGTAGACATAGAAGAAATATTTCCTGTATCTTTTCATTCAAAATAGTAGTTTATGCTGTAGTCTCTTGGTAGCTTCAGGTCATCAACTGACACATTCCCTTGAACCTTTGGTTTAGCATCACCAACGAAGTGGCAACTGCTCTACTACTGCTACTAATGCTTTATTGGTATTGGATATGAACCAGGAGCCGTGCTAACCACTTTAAATAGCTGAGTCTCTCAGTAGCCTTATGAGTTAGGTACTGTTACTCATGTTGTCCTGACTTGATAGTCAGGGACACTGTGGCTTAGGGAAATTGACTTGGCCAAAGACACATCAGGTAGGAGAGGTTGGGAGCCAAGAATCATAAATTGTTTGTCTAATTCTTTCAAATTCTAAGTAAGGGTGCTATATAATGCACATAATAAACTTTAGGAGTATCTATGCCAAGGAAAAGATAAAACAGGGAAGACTGAACCACTGTTATGAGCTAAGAAATGGAAAACATCAGTGTCAAGTCTGCAAAGTCCGTGGATAGCTGCAGAATTATCTACTGTCTTAACCCCTTATACCAAATAACCTCATCTGGAAGGAAGGACCCAGATAGAAAAATACCATGGAACACACTGAGAGTTAATTTGCATGCTCTGGATTGCTACACTGAAAAGTAAATAGAAATAAGAACTTGATTCTAAAAACACGCTGTGGTAAAAATATGTGTGTACATAACTCTAAACCTGTCTATTTGGCTTATATTTATTTCCGGATATATAATTTGGGAATTCTCATGAATTAATTGGAATAATTTATTTCAAAACCATTCTAGAGCAGCACTGCCCTGTAGAACATAGTGCAGTGATGGAAGTACTCCGTGTTTGCTCTGTCCAGCACAATAGCCACTAGATACCTGTGGCTAATGAACATAGGAAATGTGGCTATGGAGACTCACCAACAGAATTGACAACTTTACTAAATTTAAATTTAAGTAGCTGCCTATGCAGCTACTGCATTAAATAGTGCAGTTCTAGAAAGTCAGTGTGTAATTATAATTGATGCAGTAAAAATCTTAGTATACCTGTTCCTTAGATTCTTATCTCTTTCTCTTGGTAGGGAAGTGGAAAAGGGTATAAAAAGGGCCAGGATGGTTGAGTCCAAAGGTAAAATCATTTCCTATGTTTATCTGTCCCAAATTCCAGCTGTTTTATTGACAAAATTTGGGCAGGCTGAAGATTTGGCAGGCTCATCTGTCCCCTTGCCCACATGAATGTGTCAGCACCTCATTAATCTTAGGTTTCAGTGTAAAGGCCCTTTTCCCTCCGACTATGGGCCCATTTTTAAAGGATACTTCAGCATCCCTTTCGCATTTTAGTTTTTTTTTTTAGATTGCAAGTTACTCTATGGATTAATATGAGCATATATTTTATTTAAAGATATCCTGATCATTTCCAAATTGGAACAGGAAAATTATTTAGGGGTAGGGAAGTTGTAAGTTTTTGAGGAACAGATGAGTTTTTTATCTTCTAGAAATTAAAAAGCATGAGGATTATCCACGTTACTTTTCTCCAATTTTGATTGGTCTTTTTGTTAAGTGATTCTATCACACATAAGGCCCAGGTGGCCTTCTCTTGCCAAGAAAAAAAACGTATAGGGCTTAGATTTTTTTCCGCCTTAACTGTTTTTTGATGTTTTTATTCAATGTACACATTAAATAACAGTGTCCTTAAAAGATACTGAATATTTTAAGCTTTAAGTCTGTAGCATGTGCATCTTACAGGTGCATGGTGAATTGGCATCACTTTTTTTTTTTTTTTCCTTTTAAGACGATCATCTTAGAATAACCACTTTGTGTGTTTCCTGACACTGGAAACAGATACCGTTTGAGATTCCTTTTATAGTCTCCTTAGCTAACGACTTCAGTGACTATTCAGTTGTGGTCTTGTAGTAAATCAAAATTTCTTTGAAAGTCCCAGATCTGTTATATAATTGTAAATGTCCTACAAAGTCATCTGCCTAACTAAAAAGAGAAAGGACTTTCTGTTGCCTTCAATAATATTGACTCTGCCACCGCACAAAATAGTTTTTTGAAAATAAAAGAACAGTTCATTTTTTTTCTCCTGTTATTTCAAGTTAACTTAGGATTTGCCAAGGCATATTTGCCAAGGTTCAGGCTGTGTCAGACCTGGTTAGTCAATCATGAATAAAGTGAAGAACAACTTTGCGAACAACTACATCCAACTTACATGTAGTCTCTCCAATCCATTGTTTTAGGTGGAATTGTAGGTGGCACAATGGCTCTGGGTCCCTGGATGGGCTCTGTTGTTTACTATCCATTTTAATAAGCATATATTGTGAGTGATACGGTCACAACCTGCAGTTCATTGTATCTGTGGGATTTGTGGAGTTTTTCAACATGTTTTCAGCATGCATTTAGGTCAAAGTAGGGGACAGTGAGATGTTTAAGTCCGGCCATGTTGGTAGGGTGGGAGCCCAAGGAGCGAGCACATGCCAGGCAGGGCTGATGATTCACAGCCATAGGCAGAGTCCCAGCCCCCAGCCCCTTCCCTCTGCCCGGCTCAGGTGATGAAATTGCAGTGTTGCACAGAGTCTGGAAGTCAGTGTTCCTGTTAGCCAACTTGGAGAAAAGGCTTCCTCCTCTGAAACCAAGGCCCCACTCTGTGCCAATCCTTGTAAAGCAGTTCACCTCTTCAGAGGCTAATGCCTCTCAAAACCAAGAACAATTAAAGCCAAAGTCTTTCCAAGCAACTGGGGAATTGAGCAAAATAAATCAGAAATCCTCAGCCTTAGCTCCGGAGGCTTGCCTCATTATGAGAGCAGATCTATTAGCCCTCTTGCCATTGTCTTTCATTTCTCAAGTGAGGTGATTCTAATTAAATTAATCTGCATGTCAATCTATCGGTGATCAATCAAAGAGCCGGAGGTTTCCCCTATGCTGCAGGGTGCTTGCGGCTGACAGGGGCTGATAATGGAGGAAGAAATAAACTGTCGAGCAAAGTTAATTAGTCAACATAATAGGTGGATTAAACGGGAGCTAGCTGATTGCTGTTTCCCATGTCAAAGCATGAGGTAGGAGCTGAAGCTGCAATTACAGACAATTATTATATTTGGTTGTAAGAGGTTGCATGAATAAACATATCTCTGTGGGTTTCAGTTTTAATCCCCTTCCCCGTTTAATATAAGGAGAAGTGTAGGTCATTTCTTCTCATTGTTTTAGTCAAAGTTCTCTGAGACAACACGTTTGCTTGAGTCACTTCTCGCAAATTGGATTCAGAGTCACTTTATGAGATGAACTGGGGGTCTGAATTGTGCCTTGGGCCAGTCCCACAATTGCTCTTTTTCCCCTTTTAATTAGCAGGGATTCGGGGTGAAGGGGTGATAGTGATAGTGATGAGGGGACTTTGGTCTGATGAACCAAACTAGCTTGGGAAGAACAAAGTGCAAATATGAAATCTCAGACCTAGGAGGGAGAAATGCACCCCAGCTCTTGCTGAAACCTCTCTGTTGTCTTTATCTTCTTAACACTGACACAGTGGGAGGAAATATTTTAAAGATTCAAAAGACTTTTATTTGCATGATCAACTGTGATATCTGCTTCAGTGTCTAAACTGAAGGGTAATTTAGGTGAAACACAACCACCCTTGTGTAAGAAAAAAATGCTAATAAAGATCCTCTTGTTAAAATTATGGTTAACAGTGTACCTTCTGCTGTATAACTATAAACTGTGCAATTTTACTTAAAACTGCATCAAAAGCGTTCCATGCCAAAGACCCACTCATCAATAGCTCCTCTTGTTAGACTTGTACAGCATAAGCGCCAGTTATTATGTGAAATAGCTATGCAATTTTCTTCAGCTCCCAGCTGTTATTTATTTAACTTGAGTTTATTACCCACCATGCTTTTATATTAAAATGTTCATTCATCTCTCTCACATCTCCAGGTCGTGGTGTCTACGACAGTCAACGTCGATGGCCATGTCCTGGCAGTCTCTGATAACATGTTTGTCCATAACAACTCAAAGCACGGGCGGAGGGCGCGGAGGCTTGACCCCTCGGAAGGTACGCCCTCTTATCTGGAACATGGTAGGCGAATCATTTTCATTGGTTGGCATTACTACTCTTGACTGTGAATTAATTTGGTTTCTTTCTTCCACTCCACCACATTTTCTACTCTCGATTTCAAATGTCCTTTTGAGCAATACCGACCCTCTGGGGTTTTTAATTTTCAATATGTAAGGATGAATGTTTGCGTATCTTTGAGCTCTCCCCTCTTTCTCATTGCACCATTCTCTGCCCTGAGAAGGGCTGGAATCTCCATCCTTCAAGTTGAGAAAGAGAGGAAGATGTGGACCACGGCTTTGTTACAAGCTCTCATTGACCACAAAATGACAAAAGGCCAATCTGTAGGAAAAATCAGGAAAAACCATGCAATTTTGTATCACCAAAATTGTCATCCATTTTAACTACTTATGGTTGACCACTAAGGTTTTCTAATGAGTCCATTCTGTTCACAAGACTGCCAGTGTAGCTATGTGCCTACTTGCTGAACTTCACTTAGAGATCAGGTCCAGAGTCTAGGTTGAAGGGTGCTTTCCGAATATGAAGTCCAGACCAAGTGCTCCACTGGTGCCCTGTGCATAACTCTCCCTTCATCATATGAGAGAGCTTGCTTGCTTCAGGTTGACTATGGTGGGGGAGAAATTATATTTTTCTTGAGAATTACAGCCAATGAGTGGTGCCTTTGAGAGAACTGAAGGAAACCAGATGAAAATTTGAATCAAAGAAAGCCAATGCCTTTCAGAAGGGCCATGTGTTGGACTGGGAGCATGTCTGTGCTGTGTGTATCTGTAACCTATCGATCCTTTCAGTCATCTGCTCATCATTCATGCATCCATCCATCTATCCATCTTCAACTGAGACTCTACAGGAAACTAGTTACCATACTGGAAGTTCTCCAGTTTCCTACGGTTAAACATTAACCCATTTCCCTCATTTCACTTTCCAGTTTGTTAGGTCAGTAGAGTTCTTTTGTGAACACTACCACACAAATTGTCACCTGATGGCCTGCTTTGTCCATGGGATATAAGCTGTCTATGATATAACTGATAAGGTAGAAAACTTACTTTCCTGACAGCATCCCTATTAAATAAGCATAATCCTGTCATCATTTTTGCTGTCTCCCTCTCCCACCCCTGTGCTTAAGGAATGTACAAATGGTATTTTTATTAATTAGCCAGATATAATGCTCTTAGAAGAGATTCCTGACCATATCCAGTTTTGCAGTCTTTTTAAAATAAACCATCATCTTTCAAAAGCTGCTTCTTTATGGTTTCATTAGCACGGAGATGGATGGATATTACTTTTTGCAGAAGGCGATTTGAAGTACCTGCTCATGATTACATTCCTAGTTCCATTTCTGTACTTGAAATTATTCACTTTATAGTAATGTTACCTTTTTAATACCCTTGGAGTCACTTAAGGTGTTGCATGACTAAAGATCTTTAGTTGAAAGAAAGAAGGAAAAAAAAAAAAAAACAGGGAAAACCTCAATTGGCACAATTTGGAGAGGAATAGCTTAAGAACTAAAGTTAGGTTTTTGACTGGTGGAAGGATCCATGCCCAGTTTGGGGAATGACTTGACTGCCAGTTTGAGATCTGCTAGTTCTGAATTGAACTTCAAAGATGGTTCACATGCAGCCCACACCCAGCTGTTTCTGTTCTCAAGAAGCCAGTAAGAGAGCTCATAATACTACCTAAACCATCCCTGCAATGGACAAAACAAAGCAAAAAAAAAACCTCAGAGCAAACAACCTGCTAGAAAGGGGTGCCTGTGGAGAGTGAAGGTCAGTCCCATCATTTTCAGTGTGATATGCATGGTAGGGTCCTAAACAGGTACCAGGAACTTCAAATTTGAGTTCGAATTTCACTCTGGCCTGTGCGTGATGTTGGACAAGTCACCCTAGCTTTGGGGTCCCTGGTTCCTGTCTTGGTGAAATGAACGTGAAGATCTGTAAGGCGATTGAAAAGAAACTGTGCTTTGGATGGGGGCAGATGACCCCAACAAGGGAAACAGGCTAGGTAGAGACTGAAGGCAGGCAAGTGCGTGCTCCATTGCCTTTCAGCCCAGTGGGGACAGATGTCCCAGTTTGGCAAGAATTAAAACTCTTCTAAATTATAATTGTTGGTAACTAACTACAAAATTTTGAAATGCTGAAGGGAGGGAAGGAGCAAAATAAAAGTCTCTTGGGAAGAATGCAGCCCACAGGCTGCTTAAGGAGTTGGAGACCTCTGGATCTAAATGTCTCTAAGCTTCCTCCCAGGCCAAATAGTCTACCTTCCAGGAGTATATGATGGTATTTCAGTTGGGAAATCAGGCTATTCTAAATTTTAAAGACAACATTATATTCTTCTGTTCCCATTTGCTGGTCAGAAGTGGCTGTTTTATTAGGATGGTATTGAAGAAAATAGTGAGATTTCATTGCGACTGAATGATCAGCTGGTGTTGGGTAGGTAGCTAGGTCCTGAATTTTTTTAGCTAGGAGGCCTCCTGTTCACGAAAGCCTCCTTGCATTTTTCTCCTAAGGAATGAAAAGATATACATACTTAGATTCTTAGTAAGAATGCTAGAGTAACATCAAAATCTGCCTCTCTGCAGAGTCAACCAACCACACACAACCACCCACTGATTTAGATGCTTGAAGCTGATACATAAATATCTAATTAGCAGAAAGTGGCTATTGAACCCTTTCATTGGAAATGTGTGGGAGTGGACTGATGCTAATTCATGTTGATTTGGGGGTCATACTTCATCTTGTGATTGAGAAATCCTGTTTAACAAGGCCCTGTTGCAAGCTTACAGAATTCTATCTCACCCCTCTGCCTCTCGACTCCCAGCTTCCCTCAAACAGCTCCTGCACAGTAAGACTGCAAAGCATTTTCACCTCTTGCAACCTGGAGGAACCTTCATTTTACCCATTCTGAGCTTTTTACCATCTCATTTACAGGTAGCCTGAATTATTTTGAGCTACTCTGCACATCTCTATTTATATCTTGCTTGCCAGACAGTTGGAGGAAAGTTCCTTTCGTGGCTCATCTTGCTGCATATAAGTAGAAACAGATCATGGTTAACATTCATGCATGGTCGTTGCTATATGACCCATGGACTCAAAAAAAACTCCTGTGCTCACATAAATGTCCCTGCATTTCAAATATGAGAGTTGACAAAGCCAAATTTATCTCATAGAATTTTGTGTGGTCCAAAGAGGGTGAATCCTGGCATGCTGTAGCTCATGGTAATTGCTCTTCCCTGCTATTTTTTTCTCCATTCATAAATACCGAGATTTTCTTTGGCTAGATATTTATGGGAGCGTTCAGGCTCGTGAGGTTTCTTTAAGCAGTAGTTTATGGAAGACGTACACTGGTGGAGGGAGGCAGGCTCAAAATGTGAGGGCTCTTAGGGTTTTTTGAAAAAGTGTGGGCTTGGGACAGAAGAAGCTGAATGGCTGCCACCCCCAGTGATGCACAGCTCTGCAGCTTGCGTGCTTGCCCGTCTTGTAGTCACCTGAGCAGATTGCTGGGGTCTGTGTGCTGGGGCGCTTTACAGGGCTTCAGGGGATGTTGTTACTGTCATTGTTCTGCTGGGTTTCAGGTTATGTTGACTTGAATTTAAGGCCAGTTGTGGCATCAGTTTCTCTATTTCTCCCCACTGTGGCAAAATGCATTGCCCTCTGGATGCTGTAGTGCAGAGACCCTGTCAGCTTGCATGTGCTAACACTTTATTATCTAATGATCTAATATGCAACAAGGCAAAGTGCCGGTGCTCATCATTCTGACATAGAATGCTGGGAGAAGTGACTAAATTACTTTATGTACCATTAGCGCTAGCAGCTATGGTGAACTCACCGGCAGCATTTATGCAAATGCCTGTGAATACACTCTAGTGACTTTGTCAGGAAGCCGTTTGACAAGCAGCTTAAATGCTCATTTTAAAAAAGGATATTATATATATATATACATACATACATACATATTATTTTGGCGTGCTTGTGTCCTCCCCACTTCCCCTCTTTCTCCTCCCTCTTTTTTGGACTGTTGCAGGGCTTGCCCCTTCCGTGGGTGCCAGGAAATCCCAGAGCTCCCTCATCGGCAGGGGTCCTCTCATGATGGGGGTTAAGGCCCCACTCTGCTGTTCCTCAGATCTGGGTTTTCGTTGATGTTGTTATGAATTTGTTCAGCCTTCCTGTTTATTTGGGACAAAAAGTGGAACGATTCATCAAGAACTTGGAGAATATGGACATTTTTAACATTCATGAATTCTGACCTGGGGTTAGTTTGTTGGCTCAAATACAGGTGATTTTAAAACATACTAATATATTAAAATGGAAAATTATTAAAATTTAGCTTTTGTGGGCATCAGATACGAACAATTGAATTTTCCTTCAAAGTAAATATAAAGATTGAGACATGAAATGTGCATGTGCCAGATCCCAAAATAAAACAAATCAAAAAAGAAGTGGGGTTTGGTCAAACTAAAAATATTTTGGAGAATAATGAGTAGTGATGGAGTCAGTGGGCCCATCCCCTTTGTTGTGATTACAGTTTTAGGAAAATAGAATCAAGTTTTCAACACCTGCAGTTAATTCTGATCATTTGGTTCCAGCTGCTCTGACAATGTGATCTTATCCTGATCTTTATGAACTACTTTAATCCACTTGCTCCAGAAAGAAGCAGTCTTTGCTGTTTGTTTGCCTCTACATGTCCAGCCCCATTGACTTCTTGTGCTCAGCTGCACTTAAATTTGTTGTATTATGCACATGTGGAGAAAGCTGATTCAAGATGTCAGAGATTACTCATGGAGCAAATGCCTGCAATGACAGGGCCTGGGCCAGGGCTGGAGTCGGGAGCCAAGATCCCAATCCAGGTCTCGCAGGTGGGTGGCAGGAACCCAAATACTTGAGCCATCACTGCAGCCTCCCAGGATACGCATTAGCAAATAGCTGGAGTCAGGAACCAAAGCTAGGAATCAAACACAGGCACTCTGATGTGTGACATGAGCATCTCAACCAGTAAACAGCTGTCTCCCC